AAGAGGGATTGGAGAATCTGATACTCACAGGTCGAACAGAGGGGAAAAAAGACACTGGAAAGCAACGCATGTCATACCTGGCGGCCTTAAGCAAGTGGATGACAGATTGTGATCTGGGGGTGATGGCAGAGAGTTAAAACTTATTGAGAGCTACAAGGGATAGGGGGAAGTGGAGAGCCATGATCGCCTAAATCCTGAAAGTACACTGCAAATAAAAATAAAGTAAGTAAGTATATATATATATATATATATATATATATATATATTGGCAGCATTTACAATTATTCTTGTAAGCAGGTCTCATTAAATAGAAAAGACATTTTATGTTTACTAAATTTATTGATCATTTTTTGTTGTTGAAAAAATACCCAGAATTTCGTGTCTAAATTGTTGATGTCTAAATTAGCAAACATTCATACTGAGTCCAAGCCTTCGACTCATATAAGTCATCGTCAAGAGTGTTAATAAAAAAAAAAAGAAAATAAGATATATTTTAAGCAGCGCCTTATTTCAAAGTGGCGTTATTTTTTGTTTGAAAGCTAAATCCAGTGATTATCAATCGCCGTTCTACAGTGCAGTAGTGTGACACGCGATCTTCTTAAGTTTGCCATGAAATATTATTACGGCATACACACACACACACACACACAAGCACGAACACACACAAGCACACACACACACATATGTGTATGTGTAAGTGTGTAAGTCGTAATGGTACATCGTTAGTATTTGAATAAATTAACAAGTATTAAACTTTTTATCCCACATTAGTAAAAAAGGCTTTATCAGTTTTATTGCAATTTTCTACTTCTTATTTATATGAATTAGGCTTTTTAATGGTAAATAACATTAAAAATAAGAAGCAAGAAAGACTAAGCTCAGTTGAAGAAGAAATAAGGGTCTACTTATCGCACATTCGACCTAATATTGAAGAAACTGTAAAAAAAAAAAAAAAAATTAAAAAAACCCACCAGGCAAGGGTTTCACACTTACGTGTGCCGCAGTTTTATTGTAATTTTCTAGTTTTTATTTATGTGAATTAGGCTTTTTAACCTTAAATAACGTAAAAAATAAGAAGCAAGAAAGACTAAGCTGAAATGAAGAAGAAATGGGGGTCTGCTTATCGCACCTTCGACTAAACATTGTAGAAATGGCGACTAAACCCCGGGCACAGGTTTCACACTGAGTAAGCTGCACAATTAGTTGAATAGAAACATTGAAATAAAGTAAGTTTATATTTGTGTGTATTTTTTTAAATATATAGTTTTATATCATAACATTTAAATGTTTACTCTTTAAAAAATTAGCTAATTTATATTTTCATTTGACACCTAGGTGTGCCGTTGCTTAAAAAGGTTGAAAAGGACTGGGCTAAATCCAGTGCAGTAGCACGCAGGTATTTTTTGTCAGCAATGACTATATATATATATATATATATATTTCTGAGATGAGGTATTATGTACATTATTTACATTATTCGGACTATTGTCCTCATCTTTGTCGCCATATTTATCCTGTACGCTCATGGCACAGTGGATCCAGTGACAGGACCCAAAGAGTGTGAGTTCAATACCCGGTTAAGGCAGTGGAGAACTTTCAGAGGGAAATTAACAGGAAATAACTGATAACTGATATCCATCGAACATGGCATGAACGTGGAACTAGAACAGTCTATCCCAGTGAGCGAAATAAAGGGTTCAGTTCGATACCTGAAGAAGGCCGGGGTGTACAACGGCCGAAACATTGTGATAAATATGCCGACAAAGACGAGGACAATAGTCCGAATAATGTAAATAATGTACCTATATATATATATATATATATATATTACAGCAAAAAAAAACAAAAATTACCTCAACATCGGAATAGACTATTTCAAACCGTCTTTTAACGGCTTTCGTCAGCCGACTAAGTACTTGTCTTCGGAGTGCTTATTTATATATTTTTTTATTTTTCGAAGCCAGTCTCTGATAGGTGCACACACACACACATATATATATATATAATATGCATTTAAGAATATGAGATCTTATACTATAGTCTCTTTTCTTAATGGGTGGTCGCTTTTGTTGAACGTAAATGTATTCAATTGTTCAATAAATATCATTTGTGTCTGCGTGAATGGGTGGTTGTTGTGTAACCTATATAAGACATATATTGTTTATTATTTACATAGATGCAATCTCTGATTAGACCATGGAACTCATCGACATAAGTCTTATGTAGATGGATTGAGAGATTGTATTTTTGATAATTAACTTACCGCTTTTACATATTTTATAATAAATGATAAATCTTAAATGTGTATTCTTATCTATTAGTTGTTTTTTTTAATTGTAATTTCACTCTTTTTGCAGCTATAGTGAATTTGATTTATATAAGTTATGTCGATGGCTTTGTTGGCAATCTTACCTTTAGAAATCGGGTTTATATTAATATTAAGTGTTGTTTATGCGAAGATCATTTTAATTATCAACAGTATGATCAGAAAAACCGTTGTTGATAAATATTTGTTTTTGATATGCGTCTATTTTCTTCTACATGTTTCGCTTTTTCAGTCGGTGTAAACAAAAATTTTACTGTGGAACGATAACTTGACAGCTAATCTTATAAGATATTTATTTTTCTCGTTTTATTTTTATATTTCTTGTTCCCATTTCATGATAACAACTACTGTGGTTATTGTTTTCTCTTTTAATTATGTCTGATTTTATTATCTTAGTATATATATATATATATATATATATATATATATATATAGATGGATCGAGCGTGTGAGCAACGGTGAGGTTTTAGAGAGGGTGCAAACAAGGAGGAAGATTATGCTTAACATCAGGAGAGGCAGATGAAATTTCTGGAACACGTAATGAGAAAGGAGGGATTGGAGAATCTGATACTCACAGGTCGAACAGAGGGAAAAAGAGACAAGGGAAAGCAACATACCTGGCGGCCTTAAGCAAGTGGATGACAAAATGTGGTCTGGGGGAGGTGGCAACTTATTTAATTTATGTATTTTGACTTGTAAATAAGATTAATACAAGAGAAAGAATACACATTTAAAGAATTTGAGAGTAAAATACACAAAAACATAGAAAAGTATCTTTAATAAGATAAAAGCTACTTGGGTCAATGGCAGAATGTTCATATAATGATGAGTTCACATCAAGTGCTCAAACTGGTTGCTGTTCTGTTCAATACACTTTTCATATCTTGAAGAAATAGACGTACAAACGTCCAGTATCATTTCCTCTGGTATTTGAACACATTCTTCTTCAGTTGCTGCTCTCATTTCACCAATTGTTTCAGGTTTCCTGCTGTAAACTTTTGTCTTTTAGAACCCCCCCCCCGACAAAAAGAAATCTAAGGGTGTCAAATCTGGTGATCTAGGGGGGTATTGAACTGTTCCTCTTCTTCCAATCCATCTGTTTTGCAGATTTTCATCCATATAAGTTCTCACATCACGGTAATGTATTATTAACTATTAATATTTAAAGAGGGTATACATTATTTTGGGACACCCTGCACACACACACACACACACACACACACATATATATATATATATATATATATATATATATATATATATATATATATATATATATATATATACTCTCGACTCTCCCGTCGAATTCGACGTATGAGGGTCAAGCGGATCAGTTCCCAGAAACCGACAGCCCGACAACAGCACATGAGATTCGATTATAGTGGTGAAGGTTTCGTGCAAAACCATCCACACTTTTTGAAGGACCGAATACAGAGACCTGGTGCACTACGTGCTACAAGGTCCTCAAACGACTCTCTGCAGATTTTGAATTCAGAGTGGTCCTTCACCTAGACCAGTTGCCATCCAAGGCTATAGAGCCCAGTCTGTCCTGCTATATATCCATATTTATACACACACAAAACATATATATATATATATATATATATATATATATATATATATATATATATATATATATATACCCGGTTACCAGAAGCCAGCCATTGTAGGTGTACATAGAAAAGTATGACCAGACATATTACGCACACACGCGGGTGCGCGCACACAAAGACACACAAACACATACAGGGTGCATCAAAAATATTTTTACAAACTTTGGGGACGAGTTTCAAACATCAAAACAAGGACAAAAATCCTTCGTTTTTGAGTTATTTCTAACTTGTTTTAATCCAGGAATTATTTTTTGGTTTGAGCCTGTAAACGAGATCTTTCAGTATATCATACAAGAAAATGTCAAGTGGTATTAAGTCTGGTGATCGTGATGCCCGCTCAATTGTTCTATGCCGTCTTAATCCATCTCAATTCGAAATTAAATTTTAACCATTCCCAAACTCGTAAGTTATAGTTAATCTAAAGCCATTTTAATCTACTCTAATTTATTTTCTTTAATAAAAGTTAATAACTAAAAAAGGATGTTACTTTTGCCGTATGCTTTATATAAAAAGAACAAGATAATAAATGTTTAGGCTTCAACAAGCTTCTCTGTGAACTTGGCGAATTTTTCCCCAGCATTGTTGAATGGCATCATCCGTGTCTTGCATAGATAAACTTGCCATTCTCTTACAAAGGTTAACTGTACAAATAAGACATCATCAGAAGTAAGAAATATGAAAGACTGTGATGTATAGAAAAAAAAAAAAACCTTTGAAAATATCGATGACTGGAGATGGCCAAGTGCTCTTCCAGAATATGCATTGCCTAGCAACCGAAGAATCACAATGAAGATGTTCTTTTTCATTGTTAATTCTCATTTTTTTTTTGTATTCATTCTTTATTTTATTTTTTTTTCTCTCTCTGTTTCCTTTCTGACTTTATGTTGGTTTACTTCTTCTTTTTTTTATATTATGTTCATTCCTCTCCTCCTCTCTCACAGCTTCCTTTTTCTTTGTTTCTTTTCGTTTTTTATTCCATGGAATGTTAAAAATAATAAAAAGAAAAAGTGTAAAAAAAAGAGTTAAATTTAAAAGAAAGACAAAAGGAACAAAAAGTAGACCTAGAATGTGAAAAAGCAATAAAAAGAAAGAAAATACAAAGAGAAAAGGAAAAAGAAAGAAAGAAAGAAGAAGAATGTAAAAAAGTAATAAAAAGTAAATAGAAAGAATAAAAGGCAAAAGAAAGAAAGAAAGAAAGAAAAAAGGAAGGGAAATAAAGAATGTAAAAAAGTAATGAAAAGAAAGTAAATAGAGACAGTAAAAAATAAAGAAAAAATAAAGAAAGATATAGAATCTAAAAAAATAAAAAATAAACAAAGTAAATAGAAAGAGTAAAAGACAAAAGAAAGAAAGAATTAAAAATGTAGAATAGCTAATGTCATAAAAAGAAAGAAAGTAAATAAAAAGAGTAAAATTTGAAAGAAAAAAAAAGAAAGAAAGATAAAGAAAGAAAATTTAACATGTAAAAATTTAATAAAAAGAAAGATCATAGAAAGAGTAAAAGGAAAAAGAAAGAAAGAAAGAAAGAAAGAAAGAAAGCAATCTATAGAATGTAAAAAAGTAATGAAAAGAAAGTAAATAGAAATATTAAAAATCAAAAGAAAGAAACAAAAAGAAACAAAGATGTAAAATAGGAAAAGGAAATAAAAAGAAAGTAAGTAGAAAGAAAGAAAGAAAGAAGAAAGAAAGAAGGAAAGAAAGAAAGAAAGAAAGAAAGAAGGAAAGAAAGTAAGAAAGAAAGAAAGAAAGAAAGAAGGAAAGAAAGAAAGAAAAAAGAAAGAAAATGAAAGAAAGATGTAGAATGAGAAAAGTAATAAAAAGAAAGTAAATAGAAAGAGTAAAAGGCAAAATAAAGAAAGAAAAAGAAAGAAAAATGTAGAATATAAAAATATCATAAAAAGAAAGAAAATAAATAAAAGAATAAAAGACAAAAGAAAAAAGAAAAAAAAGAAAGATGTAGAATGAGAATAAGTAATAAAAAGAAAGAAAATAAAGAGAAATAGTAAATGGCAAAAGAAAGAAAAAACCTGAAGAACGAGAAAAGTATTAAAAAGAAAGAAATAGAAAGAGTAAAAGGCAAAAGAAACGAAGAAAGAAAAAGAAAGAAAGATGTAGTATGCAAAAAAGTAATAAAAAGAAAGAAAGAAATAGAAAGAATAAAAGGCAAAAGAATAAAGAAAAAAGAAAGATAAATGTAGAACAGGAATAAGAAATAAAAAGAAAATAAAAACAAAGAATAAAAGGCAAAAGAAAGAAAGAAAGAAAGAAAGAAAGAAAGAAAGAAAGAATGATATAAAAAAACTAAAAATGTTTTTACAAATTGGGCCATTTTCCCAGAATCTCGCATTTACAATATCAAGCGTGTATACCACACATACGAAACTTTCTTTATAAATTAAATTTCTGAATTTAATTTTAAAACTTAAACCCTAAGCTGATACGCCGCTCCCAGAAATGTCCAGTCTATTTTCGTATAACGTGGATAGTAGAGCAGGTCGAACCGTAGTATTACAATCAATAGTTTTTCTAAATCGTTTGCGTTTTTTTGAGGAAATGAGTTTAAAGATTAAATTATATTGAAAATCGTAGCATTGCAGTTTCATTCCAGTGATCAGTGAAAGCCTTGTAGCACTGCCTTATAAAATATATAATTTACTGAAGTTTTATAAATTTCATATAGACAAATTGCATGAAACAAAGACATTATTAATTACTAAATCATTGTTCCATCACATAAGACCTTCATTTCCTTCAAAGGGAAATTATACTGAAAAATTTATCGATATGATGTTATATAATATGTTATACAGTGCAATAGTTTTTTTGTGTGATTTTCAATAAATAATGCATATTTAAAGCATTTTGTCTTATAATTTGTGCCCAGCAATATTATGGTGTTATATACACTTTTATATATTTTTTGTTTTTAGTAATTGGTCTAACAAATGATTTCAGAAATCTTATTGAGTTTGCCATTTTTGTAAATTTTTTACATTTTTTTTTACAAAAGTTTTTACTTGTTTCACTGGTTTGAAAACATATTCCATTCAATGTATCTAATCTAATACAAAAAAATATCAATTTTATTTGGATTTATTCTTGAAATAGTAAAATTTTGAAGTTAGTTTGTAAGCAAAAACCTGTGGAAATTAGGTATTTTTTGTACATTTTATCAGAGGGTCTCTAGTATTGAAACATTATCTAAATGATCAAAAATTAGTAAAAGATGTTAAACTAACTTTTGGTGATAGTACTTATCACATCAAACTCAAGCTTTCGGAGAGAGTGCAATATTGTTATTATTAAAAATACACCTTTAAGTACCGAATCTAGGTGTGTCGTCAGTGTTGTTGTTCCTATGTCACTAGAAGTTTCGGGTCTAAATAAAGAACAGACTTCTTCGATGGGAGACCCAACCGAATATGATCAGTATTCGGCCGGCACCCAGATTCAAATTTGCTACTAGCTTTAGGACGTGCATTATATAAGTTTCTCCAGAAAACGGCAACTAATCAAGACTGCACTGGGGCTATTCGATGTTATAGACGAGGTATGCTTGGTTGTACTGATCTTCCTAGATGCCGCCAAGACAGGGTGTTGATTTTCTTAAAAAAATGAAAAATCAACCCGCCCTATAGTTACTAAACAGATTTTTGATGGCGTAAAAAACTTATCTGTTTGCCAATTCACTGATATTGAGATCGACTCGAAAGGATGTCCTAACTCCACAAGGTATCAGCTCCGTGATTTATCATTTTAAATGTCAGTGTGATGATTATTACATAGCGAGATCGGAAGC